CGGTCATCTAAGCAGTGCTACTATCGACCGTTGAAGAATACCGTCGTGATTGAAGAGATGGACCATAAACTACCTCGGCAGCGCATGTCAACACCTACAAGTGTATTGCTGGCATGAAATGAAACTCTCTTCCTAAAAATGCAGTCTTCGGAGGTAGCTAAGAATAAACTGTATGTTTTTCTATTTGTTGGAAAAATATTTAGACGCAGACACATAATTGGAGAAGGAGCTCGAATAAAAAATATTTCAGCGGTTAGAAAGTGACCAAAAAATTATTTAGACATGACGTGGGCAACATATTGCAAAAACCTACCAGGTTCTATTTATTTTCTACCAACGCAACTCTTACTTGGCGGTGTGCTTTTTGAACATTTTTAAAATTTATCGATTTACGTGAAACATACACCGTTTTGTTCGATAACTGTTTGTCCTTCATGGAATCCCTTGTCCCTTTGACAAAAAAGGGGCTATCGATGTTCACAGGCTTCTTTTTAGACCAATTCTTCACCGACCAAATGATTCGTCATAAGCACGAATAGATGGTAATCATTTGGTGCGAGATCCATGAAAACCTCTGGCTTCTGGCGAGTAACTATCGTTGTGTATGATCTGGCGCTGTTCTGATGCAACACCATTCCCCTCCTTGGCCTAAACTGAGCACTTTCGAGCGATTTGTTCTTTAAGTTTCAATTCAGTCTCAATTGCTGACATTACAGGTCCGAATTAATAGTTTGGCCGTAGGAGAGAAGGTCATAGTGGATAGTTTTGTCACTCCCATCAAATACACAAAAAACTTTTCTGACCGCCAATCCTGACTTTGAGCGCTCACTGCCCTCAGACCACGACAGTTTTCGTTTGTCATTGTTGTAAGTGAGCCAATTTTCATCAACAGTCCCCATCCGCTTCAGAAATGGGTCTATTTGGTTACGACTAAGCAGCGATGTGCAGATGGAAATTCGGTGTTTAAGGTTTTCCTGTTAGCTTCTTTGTGATTCCAACCTTTTCCTAACGGTTACAAAGTTTTTTTTGCAATGTTTAGTTGCTGGACAATCGAAACAGTATTGAGTTAAGTGATCAACACATCTCACATTACCTTTTTTAGCACAAAACTTTTATCTATCTAACATCTCGCGTAATCCAATAGCGCTTATCGAGCACGAGATACAGTTCACTAAAGAGAAAGTTTTGGACTTCCTTGGGAATGTCCGGAAGCATATGCTGGACTAGACCAAAACTTTCTCTCTTCTTTCAAAAACCACTAAACTTAAATTTATCACAAATTCATTAGCATTTTCGGCACTCTCTCAGCCGTTGGGTTATCAATATAAGTTATATGATTGCTTATGATCAATATTTCATTTTTTAATCTCTAAAAATTGATTATAATGATTGATTTGGTGTTTTATATATAAAGATTTTGCAATTGAAAGGGAAATATCAATTTTGGCAAAATCTCTAAGCGCCACATGCCACATGTACGTGTACATACATACATACATACATACAGTCATATTCATATTTGAATACTGATGTATATATGTACAACATACATATGTATGTATGTATGCTTCTGACGTTCATTGATATTCACAGATCCGCCTTATCAGCCTGTGGAGCATTGAAAGCAAGTCCACTCGTCAACATACAATATATACTACCATATATATGTATGTATGTACTTGAATTGTATATAAAAAAAGATTTACGTTTTATGTTGTTTATTTTTCGGACATAAAAGATTTCGTCGATCGAAAATTTTGCTGCTGACCGAGTGTGTGATAGGGGCTCGACATCCAATGGCGATTAGAACGATTTAAACTCTGGCAGGAAGCAGACCGAGACTCGACGTAGCGGTCGAAAGGAAAACATTTAAATCGGATTTGTGAATTTTAAAAGTGAAATTGAATGCAACTGCAATTTTGTGATAAGAAATATCATAAATGTACGGTTATATACAAATAAATAAATTTAAAAAAATATAATTTGAGTGATTTCCACGATTTTCCCCAGCCGAAACACGTACCTGTTTACGAAGTGTTCAATTAAAATTAACAAAAAAATATTTATATATTTAGTTTTATGTGCGTTTGAGTAATAATAAATAAAATGATGCGCTTGTTGCAGTCTCGTGCAACACTATCAGTGACTACGGCAACTGCCACGGCAACAAAAAGTAATTTGATAACGGTCAAGGATGTTGGTTCATCGAAGGCGTTCATTAGATGGCGTCATGTAAGTTGCTAATTTTGCAAGTGTACACGCAAACATACTTACGTATATTATTATTGGTTTTATTCATTTGAAATTTTCATTAGGGGTTAGGAGGTGAGCATTGATAGATATGGCTGGCTTTCTCAAATACACATTTTAATAACAATGTTACAAAAAGCGAGACTGAAATAATTAATAATTTTATATTATGAACATTTTGAATTGATTAAAATCGCTAATCTTAGAACTGTGACAAAGTATGTTAATAAAAATAAATAAATACAAATAAATATTGCATAAATATTTTTAAATTAATTTCCTGACTAATTGAATTGTTTGAAACTTTTTATTACGTGTGAGACTCAGTTCAAATAGAAAATCAACGTATCATAATTAGTAAGGAGAAATCAGTAAGGTTTGAAAGTTTTGATCCAAGTGAGCCGAGCCAAGGCCAAGCCCCTTTTAAGCTTAAATTCATTGTACAAATAATTTAATTGGTTAATAATCATTACAATAAAATTTCAGCATGGAAAAGTTATCGCCATACGACGAGAAGATCAATCCGTGTGGGAGAGGCGTGCACCATTTGGCCCATCGCATGTACAAAAATTGGTGAAACAAGGTGTTAAGGTCATTGTGCAGCCATCAAATCGGCGGGCCTATCCAATGCAGGTGGGTAAACAATTTTTGGAAAAAAGAATTGAATTACACTAAGAAATTATTTGTGGTCAATTAAAAGTCGTTTAGCGGTTTCAAAAGTACAGGACTTAACTATAAAATCAAGCATGTATTGCTTTAGTTAAAAAAAAGTCAGGCATTTATGAAAAAGAGAGCAGGAGACATTCGAAGAGACTGCTTCGGTAACAGATACGTAAGGCCGGTGCATCATTGTTCTGCATCGTTGTACCACAAGCATAGCTACTGTAAATAAAAGTATGACCGAAGCCCTGAATGTGTCTACTTCTCGCCCTTCTCAAGAGCTGGGACAAAAACTGAAGCCAGCTGACCATTCACAACGTGGTACAAACGTCGATTGGGAGGATGGCTATTTTTCGTACAAAATGCTCTGCAGTGACGAGGCACATTTCTCATTCGAAGATACGTAAATTAGCAAAACTGTCGTATTTGTGGATATGAGAATCCTCAAATAATTGATGAGAGATCATTATCCCCATATAGACTTATTGTCTGGTGCGCTCTTTGGCCCGGAGGTGTGGCTGGCAATGACGAGACTGTCGTGTGATAACTGACCGGCTGCGTAACCACTCGTCTCAGCAATGTCAATTTGCAAGCAAGATCGTGCGATTGGTTATTGTTGGACTTTCTTTGTGGGGCTACTTGAAAGATATGAAGCTATAAATCTTGAGCACTCGAAAACCAACATTCGTGACAAAAAGTGGTCGAAAATTACCTCAAGCCGATCGAATAAATAAATTAATATAAAAAAAAAATTATGTTTTGTCGGAATCAAAATTAGATTACATTTTAGCTTTCTAACATTAGCAACTAGCTTTCTCTCATCAGTAGACTATTCGCATAAGTCTCCTCTTCTTCTGCTTTCAGCTCAAATAAATTAAACATGTTTCGATCAGATTAAAAAAAAATTAACATTTGCAAGCTAGAGATATGGGCATGATCATCATAATGACTTTTTTTGTGTTCAAAATTTTCTAAAATTTCTATTTGAATATTGTGTTTTTTCTAAATTGTTTTTTACCATAAATAGGAAGTCTAAATTAAAATACTAAAATTTTATTTGAATAACTCAAGCGTTAATTTATATGTACATAAAACACTAAGTGAAGAAATTACGAATATTATAAATTGTTCTCAAATTTGTTAGACGTAAATTTAAATTTTCTTATCAATTTCTTTCATAATCAAATTTTATCGAATTTGGAACTTTTTTGTTTTCGCTGTTTTCCTTGCTTAGCGGCGCAATAAAATTCGAATAATTTGTAAATTAACTCAATCGTTATATTAAATCGACATTTTAATTAGCATCTATAAATTTAAAAATATATTGAGGAGAAGTTTCGTGATTGAAAACCAATAAAATTCGAACGCGCTAATTTAAGTATTTGGAGCTTTTTGGTGCCGGAATAATTACATAAGTGCAAACATACACATATGTACATACATATCAAAGAAGGAATGACTAAGAATATATAAGTTTTTTTGTTTGCTTGTAGTTGTATATACACATGCACATATAAATATAATTTTTTGTAAACTACGTTTAAACACCTTTATTTGTCTAGAAAGGATATTTCCGCATTACTGCACAAAGGGAAATAGCTTAGCGATGCTAAATGAAAGATGAAGCATTTTTTCCCAAAAAATATTTCCATAACCACGATAGTTGATAGTCAATAGCATGTATTGTATGCATATGTTTACATGCCAAGCAATAAGATAACACTCTGTAGGAGGCCAATGATTAAGAAAGAATAACAAAAACAAGTTGTAAATAAATATTTGTTTTTGTTGAAGCGTCACTTCAGATTTTTGACACTAAAAACGTCAACAAAACGTCACTTGATAACCGGGGAAGTGATTTTCGGCTGATCTAAACCGTAAATTATTTAAAAGTATTTCCCAATAAGAAGTCTTTTTTCGAATAGCTTCCTGTTCCGGTAGATGTCACCTTCAAAATTGTAACCTTTTGGCATTGGACAATCAAAAATTATGCCAGTAATAAAAATGCAACGATACACGCTTCAACAACTCTTTGAAATTATTAAAATTCACAATAAAAATTTCATCAAAATATCATCCACCTCGATGGGCACTGCAAGAAGTAAAACTGTCGTCTCTAGAGCTGATCCATCCTCATAAAGTTTGATGTGGTCTATTTGCGTGGGATCATTGGAACTTATATACCAGGTCTACATATATAAATGAGTAGTTAGGAGGAATACTTTAATTTTTTTGTTATCATTTAAAGAAAAGTGCTGCAGATTCCCATCGAACGCTTCACCAAGTCTTTGGTGATAATGCTCTATCGAAAGCAACATGCAAAACATGGTTTATAAGTTTCGATGTGAGAAATGAAGACCATGAAAGACCATCAAAAAAGTATGCAGACGCCGTATTGGAAGAAATTTTGAACGAAAATAATACTTTGAGCAACAAATGATCAATTTGTAGAATGCAGCCATCGAAAAACGTACAGAAAGGGCCAGAAGACACGGAAGAGTAATCTTCCTACATGACAATGCACCGGCACATAAGGCAAACCTGGTTCAGGATACGATCGAAGAACTTGGCTGGGAGCTGCTACCCTACCCTCCGTATTCACCAGACTTGGCGTCTTCAGACTTTTTCGCATTTTTCTGGCTTTTAATAATTAGGTCGTCATTTATATATTAGGTCTAGTAAAATGTAAATTGAAGGCATTATTTGGTGCGTTGTCCGGACTATAAGGTGGATGCGAACGGAACGAACTTCGTCAAGCCGAAATGGTGCATGATTTACTGTTATCGCCGACATGCGCTCAACCATTACTGAGTTAAGTGATGTTTTATGTAAAAAAATTTCATCTGTCTAACGCCATCTAGCGTAATCCAATCGCAATAATAAAGCGAGTGCTATAGAGCCAAAAACAATATATTGTTTAAGTTTTCATTCAAAACACACTCTGGGCTGAAATTTGTTGTTATTAAAAAAGCTAATAATAAAATTTTTCTTCTTTAGGTTTACTTACATTCTGGTGCCACCGTCCAGGAGGACATAAGTGAGGCTTCTGTGATATTTGGCGTAAAGCAGGTGCCCGTCGATTCGCTCATCCCTGGTAAGACGTACTGCTTCTTCTCGCACACCATTAAAGCACAGGAGTCCAATATGCCACTACTGGATGCCGTTTTGGAGAAGGTATGAATTCTATTTGTTTTCCAGCAACTAAATTTGCAAATCCATTGGCATTTCTCAGACAGTTCTCAGACATCTGTCAAATCTAGTTTCTGAAAGATTTCTATTCCAACTTAATGAAGCTCGCTGAGTTGCTCAAAGAGCCTGAAGTAAATTTCTTTTGAATTAAGCATTAATTTCTAATGGAGAATCAATTACTTAATTAAGCATACCCAATGGTGGCGCAATAAATTGCTTATAAATTACAGAAACAAACATTTTCGAGATAAACTTTAATTTTTAATTCACTGTCAATTTATTTTCTCAATTGAAATTAGAAACTTTTGAAAGCAGTAATTACTCATTGAGAGCCTGTCTGAACAGAGTTTGAGGCTGAAACATTAATCCCTCCAATCTAAACCTCTCACATGTTGCAACTAAAGACTTTATTTATATTTAAATCGACATTGAACTTATCAATTCTGTTTGCAATGTTAAGTTCACCGAATACAAAATGAAATATGCGTCGTACATACCTACCCATTTCGGCTGTTTTATGGCCCATTCATGCGTAATCTAACATGTCCTTCAATAAAACATATACATATGAACACATACAGTGCGTAGTACTTACGAGGTAGCGCACACATTTCGTAGTTAATTACATTATAATCAACCTGTCACTCTGATTTTGACTGCTACCTCTTCATAGAACATCCGTCTGATTGATTACGAACGCATAGTGGACGAGCGTGGCTACCGTCAAGTCGCATTCGGCAAATATGCCGGCGTAGCTGGCATGGTAAATATTCTACATGGCGTTGGACTGCGTCTATTGGCGTTGGGCCATCACACACCCTTTATGCATATCGGACCGGCACATAACTACCGGAACTCATCAATGGCGCGTCAGGCAATAAGAGATTGTGGCTATGAAATTTCGCTGGGCATGATGCCTAAATCCATAGGACCATTGACTGTTGTGTTCACCGGTTCGGGTAATGTGTCGCAAGGTGCGCAGGAGGTATTTCAGGAATTGCCAATTGAGTATGTGCCGCCTGAGATGTTGCGTAAGGTAGCGGAACATGGCAGTAAGTAGTGAACATACGTGTATACATACATATGTACTTTAATTCAAAATGAAACAAATTTGTATATATTTTCAGGTCAAAATAAATTATACGGCTGTGAGGTGAGCCGTACGGATCATTTGGAACGTCGTGAGGGTGGCGGCTTTGATGCACGTGAGTATGACGAGTTTCCGGAACGTTATATCTCAACATTCAGCTCGAAGATTGCGCCTTACGCCTCCGTTATTATCAATGGCATCTACTGGGCAGTGGGCAGTCCGAAACTGATAAGTATACCCGATGCCAAGAATCTACTGCGACCCGCAAATACTCCTTGGCTGCCCACCAGTAAAGGTAGTCCAGCGTTGCCTCATCGCATGTTGGCTATCTGTGACATCTCAGCTGATCCGGGCGGATCCATTGAGTTCATGAACGAGTGTACTACAATCGATACACCCTTCTGCTTGTACGATGCGGATCGTAATAAGGATATGAAGAGCTTTAAGGGACCAGGTGTCTTGGTGTGTTCCATTGATAATATGCCCACACAGCTGCCGCGTGAGTCGACAGATTATTTTGGTGAGCTGCTCAGCCCATTTGTGGATGATATAATCAAAAGTGATGCGAAGAAACCGTTGGAGGAGGAGATATTCTCATATCCCATTAAGTCGGTGAGTTGGCGTGTGGGTGAGATCGAAGTAGCTAATCGAGCTATGTGTTTCAAGTCTTGTGCGTACACAATAAGTTTTCCATATTGTGTGGGCTATATAAGTATGTACATATGTACATATATAAATATCTTTATCGGCTAAAAATAGTCACAAGCAGCTGATAAGACAGCGAGCTCGGTTGATAAGTAATTCGTTTCCGTTCATTTGTGTGTATTAAGCCTACATTCATATTCAGAACCTTATAAGTTTTGGAAGCCGCTTCTCCAAAGCTGGCTTATTGCTTTTCAGTACGGATGAAATATGAATCCAGAGAAAGTTAGGAATACTTTTTTTGTTAATATGCTTTGCTAAAACATCCTCTTCTGATCTTTACAGGCTATCATTGCCAGCAATGGAAAACTGACCGACAACTTCCAGTACATACAGGAGCTGCGCGAAGCCAATAAGTATTAGACAAATTTGATTACCTTCTACAGCTCACTTAATGACATCTTCCTTTTTTCAGTTACCGCTCCCGCCACAAAAGTGAAGGACATTCAGAGGCCAATAAAAAGGTGCTCGTGCTAGGAGCTGGTATGGTCTCAGCGCCCCTCGTTGAGTGGCTGGCCCGAGAAAAAGATGTCTCAATCACAGTCTGCTCTGCTCTGAAAGAGGAAGCCGATGGCTTGGCGCGAAAATATAATGGCGTTGACAGTATTTATCTGAATGTAACCGAAGGCAGTGATCATTTACAGGAGCTCTGCGCTAAATCAGATGTTGTTATTTCTCTGCTGCCTTACAGTCTCCACGGCATGGTTGCCAAATACTGCGTGGCCGAGAAGACACACATGGTTACAGCGAGTTATTTGAGTGATGAAATCAAAGAGTTGCACGACGAAGCGCGACGCAATGGTGTAACTATCATGAATGAAGTAGGACTGGATCCTGGTATTGATCATTTGTTGGCGCTGGAGTGCATTGATGAAGCGAAGGAGAAGGGCGGTGTTATTGAATCGTTTGTCAGCTTTTGTGGGGGTTTGCCCGCACCTGAGCACTCGGGCAATGCGTTGCGGTATAAGTTCTCGTGGTCGCCGCGTGGTGTGCTGTTGAATACTTTGTCTGCAGCGAAGTATCTGAGTAAAGGACAAATTGTGGAGATATTAGGTGGTGGCGATTTGATGTCGAATCCGAGAAGTCTCGATTTCCTGCCCGGTTTCGCGTTGGAAGGTTTCCCGAATCGTGATTCGACCAAGTACGCTGAGCTTTATGGCCTCGGCAAAGATGTGCATACCTTACTGCGAGGCACAATACGCTACAAGGGCTTCTCGCAGTGTGTACAACCTATGCAGCTGCTCGGTTTAATTGATCCCGAACCACATCCAATGCTACATCCCAGCGGACCGGATGTGACGTGGCGTCAGTTGGTCGTCAACATGTTGGGCATGTCCGATTCGAGTATTTTCTATGAAAACCTAAAGCAAAAGTTGGTGGAACGTATTGGGGATGCCGATGGTCTGGAGAGTTTGGGGCTTTTAGACGATACGCCGGTGGTTAAGCTCAATACACCATTGGATACATTGAGTCACTACCTGGCGAAGCGTTTGGAGTTTGGTGAGTTGCAATGAATTTAAGATGAAATAAAAAACGCTAATACAAATCTTTTATGTTCTGAATAGAATCACACGAACGTGACTTGGTCATACTCCGTCATGAGGTGGGCATCCGCTGGCAAGACGGACGCCGTGAGGAACGTGGCATCAACTTTGTCGTTTATGGCCAACCTGGTGGCCACTCGGCGATGGCGCAAACTGTGGGCAAACCGGCAGCGATCGCAGCTAAGATGATTTTGGATGGTGAGTGGGGAATTTGTCTTCATACATATTTGTGCATGCTTAAGTATTATTTTGTTCTTTTAGGTGAGATACAAGAACGTGGTGTCTGTCTACCCTTTACGCCCGACATCTACCGGCCGATGTTGCAGCGGCTACGTGCTGAGGGCTTAACGGCAACGGAAACTACTAGATTTGTGAACTAAACCTGATTTTTCTGCTAAAAAATTTTGGAAAAATGTCGGTTGATGTAGCCAAGCTTACATAAATATTTATTTCGGTCTGTATTTGATAGTTTTCCAAAATTTTATAATAAAAAGTTTAGTAAAAAAATTTAATCAAACTCAAAACTGCATTAAACTTGATTTACGGATTCGATTCTCAAAAACTTCTCAACGATATGCTTTGAAGAAAAAATTTTCGCAATCACGGAAAGTAGAATTATGGAGATCACCCTTCAAACGGTTGGTCTCAAAGTGGTAGCAACGAAATCTGAAAGAAGCATAGCGAGGGTGAGCTCCTAAAGAAACGATGAAAGCAATCAAACAAACGTGGCTTTTGAAGATACTCAGTGGCGAAGGTTATTCAAAATAAAAATATGGCAAAAAGAGGTTGAAACTAACATCGACGGCGACGAAATTGACATAAACATTGGCACAAATAAATGTAAATTTTATATATATTTACTGCGAGAAGTACACTCGTACATTACCTGTCGAAAGGCGATGAAAATTAATGAAAATTTTCTTCCATAATTTGGAAGTTGATCTACCCAAGACTCGAGCCTTGGCCTTCCAAATAGAACTGGGCAATGCAAACCATTCTGTTATTGCTTCCGACATTAACAAGTCATGAAAGGTTCAAGGAACAAGAGGATGCACTGATTATAATGCTGCTGACTGTAATGCAATAACAGCTAAGTCGTCAGGGGAGAGATAGAGCCGGAAAAGTTCTCTATTTCGGATTCCCGCGGACTCTATATTTATTATTCACACGGAATCAAGATCTGTTTCTGCGTATCGAAAGTAGAGAAGAACCACATTGCATAAATTCAAATTGAGAAGTATTAAACTCTATTTAAAGCTCCATTATTGAGAAACCCCCATGTGGTTGTCTGTATGTGTCTTCTACCTAATATCTGAGCAGACTCTGTAGTCTCTGCTATTAATCATTGATTTCTCTGCCTTTGCCCGATTCCCGCATTACATGCGCTTGTGGATGTGCTCTAAATTTTTTCCATAAATTTTGCTGAGTTCGCTGTTATCCGACATCATAAATTGTGGTAGTTTAAATTTTCACACCCACACATTGTTGTTGGTGCTTTGTTGCAGGTAGGCAATAAGAGAATTTGTCAAACTAACGGTAATCGCTTAGAAAAACCTTTTATCGTAGATTAAGAAGAAATTGCTAAAGCGGCTGAGAGAGAGAGAGAGAGAGAGATAAAGGCAATTTTAGCGCTGAACTGGGTCACATATTTTTATTTATTTTTTTTTTAATATTTTTTACACGTTACAAAAATGAATTTAATAGATTTGAATTCTCAAAAATATTTTACTAACATTTTTTTTTAGTTTAACAGAATTAAGATGAAATCAGGAAATAATCAAAATGCCTCTCAAGCATACCAACACTCTGCCTTGCATTTCACACCACCGTCCATGCAAATAGGCTGGAATCCTTTGCCTGCGGTCCTTGGCGGCAGAAGTGCTCCTCCACCTGCGCCACTTGGTAATGCATTTGTTTACGTGCTTCCACCATTTTTTCGCACTTTACGTGCTGATTTGTTTTTAAACGCATTCTTCTTCTTCTTCTTTTGCTTATACCCGTGCACTGCTTCGGCTAAGATTTGTTGCCCCACAGTCATTGATGGCGCTTTTTTCCGCCAAATGCAAATATGAGGAAAAGTGTGCGTGTGTGGGCCGCTTGCTTTGATTTAGAGCTGCAACGTTTTGCCACGCAAGGCTTGCCGCAGGCTCCAACCGCCGATTGCGGCCACTACAGACACCTGCATCATGCAACGCCACAGGAGGTATGTGTGTGTGTGCGTGAAATATTTCTTCGTGCACTTGTGTCGATGCTGGTGGCTGCGCTGAACGATGGGCGCGCATGAATTCGCAGAAAGTGATAAATGATTTTTAACGATGCTTTCGTCTGCGGCATTTGGCCGTCTGCCCGCTCCCCTCGCTTTCCTTGCTGCCTTCGCCTTTCGAGCACTTTTTATCGCTTTCAATGCCACTCGAAATGTAGTCGACGTTGCATCTTTTTCAGCGACGCTTTGTTTTTCTTTGCCTGTTTGCTGCTGCTACTCTTTGTTGTCTCTGCTCTGTCCTCCGCGGCGAATGCAGTGCGCTTGAGCAGTTGCTCGAGGACATTTAACACATGCAGGAGCGTCCGTCCGTTTTTTCATCCGCAAAAAAGCTTTTGCGTAAACAACAATTGATGATGAGGAAGTCGTAGGAGGAAACCCGACAAACTGTGCGTTAAGTGTTGTTGTGAAGTGTTTGAATAATTTGCGGTTGCTTCTATTGTATTTAATTGTGAGGTGTCGAGTTGTATTGTGTCTATTGTGCGGGCTTTAAATTAATAGAAGATGATTTTGAATTAAATTAAAAATTAAATGTATTTTTTTTTTTAATTATTTAAAGGCACAAATCTTACCCATGGAAACGAATGCTGTTAAAAAAGGTATGTAATAAACTATTTATCAAATTCATTCTACTCCCACTACTATGTATAATGACGTAGCAAGGCTTAAATGAGTAAAGCGGAATCAAAAATATTATGGCGTTCGTTTCTTCCAATCGCTGTTTGGCGCCAAGTGGAACTATTAGGTAAAGCCATATATGGCACTGCGTCGAATACCGTCATAGCAAAATATTGGTCTTTGTGTTTTAAATAATTTCAACCACAGAATAGACAACTATTCACTTGGAGGCTAGCAATAGTTAGAAGGTGTGTAAAATAACTCGGATGAAACACACCAATTTTGATACAAAAGGGTTATAACCGCTCAAGCAGTGCCTTGGCGGCCGCGGTAGCCGAGTGGTTAGCATTTCAAAAAGTTATAGAAAATTAATTTAAAATGAAAAATGAAGCTAAATTTTCTAACTGCGCCCCGCTGCAGGCAACCCTTCTGATTGTATTTCTAACATGAAATGAAAGCTCCTCGCAATACAACAAACAGCCGTTGGGAGGCCCCTCCGTTTGTTGGAATACCATCAAGACACAAAACCACAAATTGGGGAGGAAACTCGGCGGAAAATCACTACAGCGGTTACAATGCGCCAATTATATAATATTTGACTATAAAGATCTCTTCCCTATCTCTGAGTAATTTTATAATCTTCTTACACATATAAAAATGTGAAATCAACTAATCATATGATCGCCAGCAGATCATATCATCATTTTGTGACTCGAAAAATATCACAAGCTCATATTCAGCATTTTTCAGCCACATCAAAATATTAAGCATTGTGATTGACTGCCGTAATTTTAATTTTCATGCTTTAGAAGATTTTTGATGAGATTTCGAATATATCACGTGACTTCCTTTAAGTCATTTGATTTATTTTATGTTGCTATCACATGAAACCATGCAGATCACATCACCACCGCTGTGGTAAAAGCATAATGTTTAGTCACATCACATCATTCAGCGTGGCGTTTAAGCCCTCAAGCATAGTGTTGCGCGTGACAGCGCCTTCATTAGACCAAAGCAACAATAAACATAATTTTTTTATTTTTTTTTTTTATCTAAGGGCAATGATTATGACTCTGTTTAGCTTATTTATATACTTATTTGGCGGCCGCGTTAGCCGAGTGGTTAGCATTGCGTACTGACATTCGAAGGGCTCGGGTCCAAGTCAACATCCAAAAGTTTTAGAAAATTAATTTAAAATAAAAAATTAAGCTAAATGTTCTAACTGAGGTCGCCCCCCCGGCAGGGAATGTCAACCCTTCCGAGTGTATTTCTGACATGAAACGAAGCTCCTCCGTTCGGAGGCGGCTTAGTATAAACTGTAGGTTCTTGCATTTATTGGAACAAACATCAAGACGCAAAACCACAAATTGGAGGAGGAGCTCGGCCGAAAATCGCTTAAGCGGTTACAAAGCGCCAATTATATATATTTAAACACATAATTAAGGCATTTCATTTTCCATAAATTTACCTACGATTTAAGAAGCAGAATTATTGACGCTCATTTAAGCACAAATTGAATTCAATTACACTCTTCGTAAATGCCTATCATAATCACATGCAATAAATCATTCAATCGTTAGAAAAATCAAGTGTAATAAAGTCAATGATAATACGGAGCATGAAACAAAAACAAATATTCAATGGCATATTATGAATAATTATGTAAGGAAAAATAGAAAAAGCTTCCTTAGCGCTGTGAAACTAGTGCAAAAGATAATATAACCGTTATTTAGGGTCAGTTGCTGTATACGAACATCGTTTCAAGTTTATAATTAACTGTACATCTAGTCTGTAGGACTCGTAAATCAGTGACATAGAAACTGAACCTCTACCTTTTTATATTAAAAACCGCTTCAAAATGGACTAGTTCGTTCCATGAAGTAGATTTTACATTCTCCTGTGTAGCATACACATGTATGCATATATAACACAAAACAAAACTGTGATTTTTAACACGTTTCGGGAATCTCCGAATCTGCAAAGAAACTTTAAATTCCAAGATATTCTAAAAAATCACTCAGGAAAGTATATATTTACGCCTTTGATGGCTTGTATGTGCGTATTTATGTGTTATTATATGTATACAGGTAGTTCGAAAATCTAATGAAATGTATTTTTTGACGAAAATTCTTTCTCATTGTCACAGCAACCAATGAAATAAATTTTTTTTTCTGAAAGATGATTAATGTAATATATTTTGATTAGAAATATTTTTTTTATTTATGCTCTGAGAGTTTGTGGCCCACAATTGTCGAGTTCGAAAGCCCAGTGTTCGAGTCATGGTGCGACCAACATTCCAAAAATTTATTTATTTTTATTATGGTCGCTCTTCGGTAGGGAATTCTAAGCTGAGTTCCGCATACAAAGCCATCGACCATTCATCTGGCTTAGAATAAGCTGTACGCCCCTCTATTCTTGGGAAAACAACAAGAGCTCGGCCGAAAATCGCCAGCGGTTACAAAGCGCCAATTATGTTGTATAATATGAACATTGTTATAGGATTATCCATTTCGTGGGTTCAAAAGTATAGGGCTGTATTTTAATATATGTAAAATTTAACTGTCAAAAAAA